AATTACGTGGTAATAATGTTTAAACAAAATTTTGAAATTTTTATTTATCATGTAATTCATTCAATGTATGCACAGAATATAGAAAATTATATATTAAAATATATTTATTTTCTTGGGAATTGGGTTCTGGTGTGATAGTCGGTTAAAAAAAGGATAAAAAAACAGCAGCGATTTCTTTCTTGACATTTCGTTCCTGATCAGGAACTTTTTCAAAAGGCTTTTATTATTAAAATTGTTATAATTAATAAAATTAAAACCTAAACAACAACCATTTTCGTCAAAATTTTAAAAATATGCATCAATCGTCATACAGTGGACATATTTTCATAATAACCCAATTCCCAAGAAAATAAATATATTTTAATATTAAACAAAAGGTTCAAGAAGATTTCAACTTTATATATTTATATATTATATAGGTATTTTTCTAAAATTATTACCTATACAGTGTTTATTTTTTTGACGATAACTTTCTTACTTTTTAAGATTTTTAATCGGACAAATGCTCATTTTGCAGGGAATTGTAAGGGCTACGTGAACTGTTCAGTTGATATTTTTTAAGCCCTTCATTTTTAAGTTTGAAGGGTTTAAAGGGCTCGAAAAGGGTGGTTCTCTCATTCATATGATAACTTAAAATGGCGATATCTCGATTAATATTAATTTTAGAGAAATAATAAAAAAAGCAAAATCTTCAGCAAGAATAAAGCTAAATTTTTTTACCCTTGTATTTTTTTCGTACACTCTTTAATTTTTAAGTTACAACGTAAAAATCGAATTTTTTTAAAAAATTTGAAAAATTAACTATCAAATATGACGTTTTTTTTTCGAAATCATGCTTTGTAAGTGAGCCAAAGACCCAGAACATATTCTTAGAACATAAATGAAGAAATCTGTAAATGGATTGCATTTAATTTTGATTCTGTCGCCAAAGTCACTGATTTGTTTATTAATTTTTTCTTAAAAAAAAATGAGACTATCATGTTATTTCGATCATATTTCCGTTAATTTTGATTCTAAAGACTATTAAAACTGCTCATTTTAGAGGTTTTTCAAAGTACTTTAAAAAAGGTGCAAATAGTTTTTTTCCTAATATTTACGGTTTTGGCGTTATTTAACGTTAACTGGTTCCAATTTAGTTGTTAGCTAACATAAAATAATGTTTAAAAATCCATAACTCCTTTTATATTGCAATTAGAGAAAAACAAAACCTTTCTTTTTGTTCATTACAACTTTTTCGTTAAATCCAATGGTTTCAGAGTTATTTGCGAAAAACTGTTCGAAAACAAACACATTTTCAGTAAAAAATCAACATTTTCAATGACGAATTACATACTCGGAAAATATTGGATTATCCAAAAAACTTTATATAACATTTGTTACTTAAAATTAACTCCTCTGTCGATTCCTGTGGTTATTTTGGGCGTAAAAATGTCCACCCAAAAGCACACTTCGGCACTATATAAGCTTTGTTCCTTGAGGCATTCCCCACATTCAGTCAAAATTTCACGTCAATCGGTTCAGTTATAAAGAATTCGGAGGTAAAAACCCTGAGTAACTGGACTAATAAACCAGCAACAACATTAAGCCGCGAATGATAAGCACGAACTGAAAACTATACGATCAATAGTTGTGACAATTTCTGAAACTAGGGAAATCGGTTATTGCGGATTTTGTGCTAAATAAGGAATTTCAGATCAAGGCCGTGCTTTATTTACCTGAGATTAATCGAGATCTATGGTAACATATATTTGTTTTTTAGAACAGTAATTTTTTTTTAAATACAATTTCGCTAATTCTCCAATTCTCCCGTCCTCTTAATGTTTCTCATATGTAAAAAGATTTTTTAAACCGAGAGAGATACACCAAGCAAATTTGCACAGAAAATAGCTGTGCGAAACATCGTCTTAATGTTAAAAATATTGTCACCGCCGTTAGTGGTGGTGAAAACTCGAAATATTTGGAGTCATTCAAATGTTCTGGCTGTTTTTTTTCTGGCTTTTCCTGGTTTCTATTATTATTAATATTAATCGCCGAGTTAACAAGTTTTTTCTAATCGCTTCCGCCGCGAGAAACGAGCGCCCTATGACCGAGTAACGTCATTTATTATCCTTGGCGCTCACGCCCGAATTGACAATATTATTGCACGTCCGGGGGGGCGATACGGTCCCGTAAATATGCAGCGCTTAGTACGTGTTTAAGTTTGAGCGCCCCGGTAATTATCTTTCCGGTGTCGTCGGGAGCTCGGAGATATCAAGTTTAATGATTTTCTTAAAGAGGCGTCTGAATGGCTGGAATGCATTAGGAAGTAAATCATTCGAGCGGAGCAGTTTTATGTTGCTCGAATGCAAATTTCGTTAATTGTCGTCTGAGCTGGATCGCTTCGTCTATTATCGTGCACAGGCTGTGATAAAAATTTGACGAGGCGCTTGAGAACGACCCAAGTGCTCATAGAGAAAACAAATAAAAATATATACATATTTTATTAATCTAATATTGATATTAATTAGTCCAGGAAAGTTTGCCATAAATAATAATAATAATGCTTTATTGCCCAACAGTCAAGACCAATAATAAACAGACGGAATCAGCGAACATTTTTACTCTGAGATTTTTTTATAGAAAAGTGTAGGTTTTGAGCTCAGAAAACATGTGTCACACACACAACCGCCGACAATATATACAAAGTTTTGAGATATACACATATTTGTAAGATTTTTCGTGTTTTTTGACCAAAAACTGCCAATATCTCGATGAAGATGAATTTTTTCGAAAAAAAAGTTGTTCAAAATTAAATTTCCTACAAAATTGCTGCTATGAAAAATTTCGTTTTCTGCTAATATTATTTAAATGTAGTACAGATTATGTGAAAATTAATGCTTTGGAGCCAGAATAATGGTCAATTCATTTTTAAATAACAAAAGTGAATTGGGGAACATTCTTGGAAAATCCTATATAGTTTTCCGAGGTTTGAATATTTATGAGCATCAAACGATTCAAACGTATCATTTTACAGGTTTAAATAAAGTTTGCTGTTAGATGGGATGAAGTAAGCTCCATTTTCATTCGAAAGTATTATCTTTGGGATTTGACAGAAACGACGTCATCAATTATATTTTTCCAGAAACATACACATATTTTTTCCCTGTTAAAAAGCTCTCTTTTTTCTAATACACTTTTATTAAAGGAATTTTTCTGTATTACTAGTTCCAGTTTAAAAGTTATAAGCAATATCGTCCTAGAGAGTCTCAAAAGAAATATCTACCACCTAAAAATCACATTAGCAGTGGAAGGATCAAGTAGTCGTTGGAAAATAATTGAATGTTCGTTGTTTAAAGTGCATAAATGTCACAAAATACTCAATACGAACGTCAAACATCGTGAAATATTTTACAATATCCACGTAAGGGCGGCATCCACCCTTAGGTATGACATGAATGAAAATCATAATCGGAAAAACCGTTGTCGGAAAACCGTTGCTGTATTCACACCCGTTTTTGTTTTAACTGTATTAAAGAATTATCGAGTTTAATCCTTCTATTTATTCTTAATGACATTTATGCACTTTAAACAACGTATATTCAATAATTTTCCAACTACTACTTGATCTTTCCACCGCTAATGGGATTTTTAGGTGGTATTTCTTTTTGAGACTCTTTAGGACGATATTGCTTATAACTTTTAAATGGAAAGTAATACAGAAAAATGTCTCTGATAAAAGTTTATTAGAAAAAACAGTGCTTTGTAACAGGAAAAAAGTTTGGGTATGTTTCTGGAAAAAATATAATTGATAATAGTGGATCAAGATAGATTTTGACTTCGCGAAAATTACGGGAAGAGAGAATTTTTTATTTTTCGCTTTGTAAAGTTGTCAGAAACCGCTAAATTATTTATTTAACAAATTAGTTGCAAAATTACAATTTTTGCAAAATATATAAGAAAAATATAATTAAAAAAAAAATTAACTGTGCCATTCGAAAGCACAGGAAATTTTACATAAAAAATGTTAATAAAGTTTTTTTCTAAAATGCGAATTGAGGGCTGCAGAATTTTTTTTTCTAACGTACGAAAAATGAGACGGGCGGACCCTCTCGAGGTGCGCGTGGCCCCGAGCGCGCTACACTAAATTTGTTATAACTTGATCTAATTGATCAAATCGACCTCACGAAAATTTAAATGGAAGAAGAGTCACCCGGCTATCAAAATTTTATGTCTTTAAACTTGAGAAAAAGTTACAAGTACAAAGTTACGTCATTCTATAATTTTGTACAATAATAACAAAAATAGCTGTCATTCTTTTAATTTTTAAAATAAATATCTGTAACTTTCACAGATTACTCTTCAAATGACGATTGAAACAGTGAGCGATATGGAAAAAATCTTAAAAATTTGATTTGAAAAATATTGAGCCCAACATATTTCACAAATTTGACTTTTTAGGCCATATATTATAGATCAAAAACTATAGTTGTAAATGTGATACTGAAACTTTATGAGAGTACTTTTTAAAGCTTTAAATCTCTACTTTAAGATGGTACATTTTATTTTTCTTAAAAAAATGAAATAATAGTTGAAAAAACAAAAAATAACAAAAAATTAAAATATTTCATGAAAAATCCCTAAAATTTATCCAATAACGGTATCGAGCGGCTGTATATAGAAAATTGGACGTTCTCCGATTGTGGGGTAAAAAATCTATCAACAAATACGACCAAAAGAAATTGATTTAAAATATTTTCAAGTTTGTAACTTCACTGCAAGGGGGCGCAACTGCTATAGTGTTACAGAAAATTGTCGGTTTTTCGAAATTTCGCTTATATAACCCAAGTTGCAAATACAATTTTTAGATACACTGTTAAACTCTTCACAAGTTTTGTTTGAACCTTTTTTTCGTTATTACCATAGCAACGTCAGTATGGAGGACGCAATCTTGAAATTTTTTAATTGTCATAACTTGCCTTGCCTTAAGCGATAAACGATGGCTCATTTTCAAGATTAATAAAATTGATTTTTATGATATAGGAAAAAAATATATTTTCCTGCGCAACGGTAGACGACGCTAATGAGAAAAGTTTTGTAATTGTGTCCGGTTACTAAAAAAATATGAGCGACTTTGATTTAAAATCGATAATTGTTAAATCAATTGTTTAAAATAGTCGGCCATATTAGATCTGCCATTTTGAATTTTCATTTTCCGACTTCATATTCTTGTACAGCGACATCGAAAACCCCTATATTGTCAATTTGAAATAATTCGATTTAAAATTCATTGAATTATCTTTAAAAAATTATTTATTATTGTTTAAACGATTAAAAAATAATTAGCGTACAAAAATAAGTTTATAACTTTTTTCTAATACTTATCTCCAAGTGATTTCAAAAGGTTTTAGGAAAAGTCATGCTTCCTGTAATTATTTCGAAATAATGCATAATTTTAAGCTATCTTGACTCCACTATAACGTCATTAGTCGTTTCTGTCAAATCCCAAATACTTTCGAATGAAAATGGAGCTTACCTCGTACCATTTAACAGCACGTGTCTTAAATTTTATTTAAATTTTTTGTATCTTCACAGTAGGCCCATATTATCGAGTTTGAGACACCTTGGACATTACAAATTAATTATTAATTTATTAATAATCTATTTCCTAAGCTCAAACGCACAGTTAACTCCGGGAAGACAATAGATGGCGCTGGCATCGCGCCCCACGGCGTTGCCAATGATCTATACGGAAAGATAATATCTGGTTTGTTTTCTCGATGGGTTTTTGTGTCTTTCTGCACCAAATACATGACTTTCGATAAATCGTACACCATTTGTACCACTGTGCAACAACAACAGGAAGTTGAGTTAATGGAATATATGGATATAAACTCTTCAACTAAGTTAATACTTGGCAACACGTTCGTTCGCTAATTAATAATTAACTGTAATTAAGCAGTTGAGTAAATCCTGTACCTAAGTTATATTACCGGAGGCAAATATGGAGGCTTCGTGAACGGTCCTCAAACAGTGGGGTATGATTGTTGGAAACGGCTCGTCATTTATTTCGAATTACGTATCACAGCGTGAAATAGAGGCTTCTGTTAAATTTGCTTGTATTTAATAGGATAGAACGCTATTTCACTTTCCCGTTTTGTCCTCCGTGTACATATTTCACTAATGAACGAACGAGAATGTGTGAGCAACATTTTCGATGTAAGTAAACTTTTCTACTATTTTATTTTGTACCTGTGTTATTCGTACATTGGTAGTATACCCATTATTATTTCGTTTAACCGGCATTTACCTCCCAATTATCGGCGAATTTACCGTGAACTCTTCAGAAAGATAAAGCAATTATAAAACTTTAATTGCGAATGAATGGCGGCACATTAAATGTTTATGTTCGAAACTGGAAAACTAAACTTTATGTTTTTGTTACAGAACCGGAAACAGACAAAGCACCCTCATCGCCTACAAGACGGAAACTACCCAAAACACCGGTATAAATTATTTCTAGTTAACAACCTTTCTAAGAATTCCGGAGGTTATCAATCGAGTTTAATGAAAACAATCGTAGATTTGTAGAGATATGTAAAATTAAGATACTAAGACACAAGATGGTCTAAGCTTAGAAAAAATACTTCTCTAGAGAAAGTGTATAAAAAAAAACTAACGTTTGCTCAAAAAATAATTGTTTACAAATAGTGTTTGTTTACTTTTAATTATAGTGTAGCCCATATTTTTAAATTAATTGTTTAAATTTCCCTCACATCTAACTGCAAATAAAACGTAATTTCATTAAACGTAGTATGCCCTGGAGAACAATCTAATTGGTTATACAGGGTGTCCCAGAATAACGTGTACAACGGAAGACCACAGATTCGTGGACTCAAAATAGGCAGATTTAGGCTAATTCACCTATATCCGAAATCGTTTCGTTTGACCGCTAGATGACCTCGTGAAAATTTTTAGAATTTTGTAAATTACTCGCATACGTATTATTCGATTTTGATTATTTTTGGGATGTGGACTTTTGCTTTCAATATACAAATTTTAATGTTATACAGAGTGTTTCTTAAAACTCACAACTCGTAACTGACAATCCTGCATCATTTCTATTGAAAAATAACTATACTATACTTTATCGATACATTTTTACCCGAAAAATGTTTCTAACATCTATTTTTCGATGAATGTTTTTCTCTTGACTGATTGCACATATCTTTAATCAAATATTCCTCTCTTTCGTTTAACATATTAAAAAGTACGTTAAAAAATACAGTTAAGGAAAATAAAATATATAACTCCAAATAAATAATATATAACTATTACATTTTGCTGCATTTTTTACATTTTTGCATTCGAAATTTATATATGTTGCATTAAATTATCGAACGAGAAAAATATGCTTCTTTATTTTTATTCAACCTACCTAGTGTAGAATAACAACGATAATAATTATTGAGGGTCGACTCTGTTATTTTATCTACCTAGTAAAAAAATACATTAAATATTAATCGATTAACTGTAAGATAGAAATTGATTTGTCATTACAAATATATTATTTTAGATTTTATCGCGCTGAAGCGCGATGATTCAAATAACGAATTCTTATTAGATCTACATAGATATTATAATAGTTTCTCCTAATATTCCCAATATTATAGACTCACAACGCAGTGTATGGCATTTTATAGCGGTTATGATAAGTTATGACCCCTAAGACCGTCATGGTGTTAGTAGCCAACAAGTTTATTTAAAACAAATCTATGTTTAAGTAACTAAATTATTATTTCGCTGACACGGAACTGAATATGTTGTGTTTCGTTGTAAACTTGTCCGAAGGAGATATTAAATCTCATTTAACTGATAACAAAGCGCAACAATGCAACCGACCAATACACTAAATCCATTTTGACAGCAGATGAACAGATGAACAGAGACATTTTGACAGTGGCGATTTGCAAAGCCAACTATAGTAATGTTGACATGTAGATGCTCTGTGTGTGTGTCCTTTTCTTTTTTTAATTGCAACAGATGAAAAGATAAAGAGACATCTAGAGTATCTACTAGTTGTTAATACAGCAATAAATTATGGTTTCAATGCACGGGTAAAAAAAGAACCTTATAACAGCTTGCTTTCCAGGAAATATCGAATTCGAATATTTATTTACAAACGCCAGGTAGGTACATAATATATCAAGTTAATGCAGCTATTATCGATATAAAAATGTAATAACCATTTTTATGGCCAACACAGTGTGTGGCATTTTATAGCAGTTATATTAAATTATGATCTCGTAGTAGCCTGTGAAAAGCTTTTACTTCTGCCACAAAAAAGACAATATCCTATTGATTACCTAACCTAACCTAAACTACAAATTTCATAAATTACGTTTAGATCAGGCAAAGTGTGTTTACTATCAATTCAGTCACTAAGAAAATTAAATATCTGCAGTTGGAAAAGTCATGAGAATTATAAAAAATAATTTACTTAGTAAAAGATTTCGACTATGTACTAACAGTCTTTGTCAACAATTGTACTGGCCAGACATCTACACAAACACTTTTTTAGCATGTCTACACGCTCACTTTTTATGTTATTAATGTTATAATGAATAAAAAAACTCTTACAATGCGCACGATACAATACGTAGGTATGTAAATATTTTAAAAACGCGAAAGGGTCGCTACGGAAATTGGAAGGAGAGCGTCAGTGAGTTTGCATTTTGTCACGTTGAAAAACTTTCTCACAGCCGCCTTTTCCGACATCAAGTTTATTTAACACAAATCTAGGTTTAGGTAACTATATTATTATTTCATTGTCTACTTGTCCCAAGGGGATATTTAAATCTCATTTAACTGTTAAAAAAGGCGCAACAGTGCAACCCATAATACACTAGATCGATTTTGACAACAGATAAATTTTCGCAGTGACGGTATGCAAAGCCACAGCCTCCTACATCTACAAGCTGTGGCAAAGGCAACTATAAATATCTAGAGTAGAAAAAAGAACCTTCGCAGCTAGCTTCCTGGAAATATGAATTCGAATATTTATTTATATTATTTACCATGGCACTTTGAATCATTTTGTATATTTTTGTGATTGATTTAGCCACGTACTGTTACTTAAGAGAACACGCAAACAAAAAACAAAACGTCTACGAGCATCTTTACAGAATTCAACTAGATAGGAAGCATATGAAAATAAAAATCTATCTGTTCTGTATCCGGAATTGGTATTGACACTTATTCGATATCTCCAGTAACTATTTATATGATGGAAACAGAACTACGTAAGATCAAGCAAACATTGCGAATAAACCGAGAATAAATTGTATATAAACTTTATTTGCAAATGCAATTCCTAAGCTTCCGAAGCTATTGAAAAAACTACCGGCATGTGGATGATATGTATTTATCGGATTTATCCCGAAACTTACTTGAACACAACTAGTTTTCTGTAAAAAAAATTATGGCCTGAAATTTATACTTTTAGATTTAATACTGAGTGCGAAACCTGCATTTCCTCATACAAAAATGTAAAAAATGATGCACCTACTTTCCGCCATACTGATGATCATTTCAAATACAATTCACAACGATGTGATTTAATTTTAGTCTCTTACACGTTTGAAGCATGATATTCGCTAAAGATATAACGTACCTACAATGTAATTTTAAGTATATAAAAATACCTTGCTGGAGAATTCTTAGAAAGGTGTACAGAAAAGATATCATTTTGATAAAAAAAACAAGAACAATCAATATACATATATGGTATAGAGGAGTTGGTCGTAACATCGGGCGTCACGTTGATCTTAGCAAAAACTGGAACATATGGAATAATTGTAAAGAATCTAAATTAAACGTGGTGTCCGATGTTGTGCCCCAACAACTAAATTTTATAAATAATTAACATAATTTTGTACAGAATTCACTTACTGAATTCACCCATATTATGACATACATGCATATGAAATGACATATGGATTATTTTTCCTAATTTTTCCAAAGCAGGACTAATTCGAATTGTTTTAGAACGTCCTGTACATAGATAGATCTAATCTCTGTGATATTTTCATATCTTACTAATCTGTTATTTTTTAGTAGATAAATTTGGCCTTTCTGTTAGATGATAATCGTTGTTAAGCATGCGATGTTTAATTATAACTTAAGTGTTGTAGTTGGCAGGATAATGGGTCAATGACATAAAATCCGTTCTGTATTTTGCAGTTCCACACAACTAGATATTTCCTTATTTGGAGAACGTATAATTAAAAATGCGTTAGTAAGAAATAGCTCGTGTGTGCTGTGAACTTTGTTAGATACACAAATATCTGACTGTCAATTATTTTCTGTCAAAAATTTTCTGTTACAAAGGTCTAATCAGTTATCGTCACATTTAAAATGGTCATAACTTTTCAACAACAAACTAAAATATAATTACGTTATATTAAAAATGACTGTGGGATTAAAGTTGCAATTGAAGTTATTAATTACCCAAAGGAAAATATAACAGGTACCTACAATTTAATGATACAATCAATTTGAAGTAGGTATCTGTCTATTAGGTATTTGGTAATTTTTCTAGTAATAATCCATCAAAATCCTACACTATTAACCTTCCTTGATTAGGAGAGCACATATATTTTAGATACAAAACTTTACTCTTGTTTATATAAACTATATTTAAATAATGGGTATTACTACTTGGATGACAGATGTTGTAGTGTAGTGCATGTGTAGGTATCTCATTCTTACGATATTTCACGAAATCCAGCTCTGTCTGTCACAGATGGAATTTTATAAAAACAATCCATAGTAAAATACCGAGAATACGGGACTCGCGGGGAACTATGAATGAGCTACGCATCCACTGAACCATCTACCACAAGGTGTCTTAAAATAGTTGAACAAATAATAAGTTTTAATTCTGGCAGGCATTGCGTCTACTGCGGACTCTTCAGGAACGTGCTGTCCCCAATTTCTTGCAATTTCTAAACAGTAGCAAAAATTGTATCACCTTCTTTTTTAGATTCATTATCTATTTATTCAATATATAGTTAATTTGTTTACATAATGTTATAATTTTTATACTATAACATATTATGTAATTACAAATTAGGTATTTCAAAATATACCTACATATATAAGCCATGACTTGAACACTTACAGTACGTGGTCTAGTGGTGCAAAGCGTTGAGCGTTGGTCTTTCATGCGAGAGGTAGTGGGTTCAATCCCTGCTCAGGTATTGACTTTTTAATATTTATTTCAAATTATAACGTGAATATGATCGGCAAACAATGTAGATAAAATTCGACAAAATTATTCTCAAATTGGAAGAAATTTTAAACACCGCACCGCTGGACGCTGTGAACACGACGATGGCGATGCAATGTTGCCATATAGGATGTTCAACTTATGTGTAGTTTTAGTACTTTTAGCCCAATTATTGTCGCTGAAAATATAGTAATACCCCCGAATTTTTTATAACTGCATCGATTTTTCTCAAAATTTAGAATTAGGCTCATCTTCCTCCCTACTTCTTCAAAACTTATATATGCGCTAGTGCGCCTTTTGTTCTTGAGGTGTGAAAACCACCCCTTATTGGAAAAAAAGAAAAAATACAAATTTAAACATTTTAATTATTTTATGTAATCAAATCTTTTTTATTTATGCAGTATAAGTAATTTCATGTGCTATCTAACATGTATCCCAAATTTTAAACCCGGAAAAACCTTTAAAAACCACCCCTTTGCATGAAAATGGTATAAATTTTTTTTTTTTCAACTTGAAAGGGTTTAATCATGCATTTTTATCAAATTAAAATTGATTTGTCTAATTTAAAAATCTTTTATATCGATTGCAACTTTTCAACCCTTGAAAAATTTTCGAAAATAAAATGAAAAAATATTATTGAAGGAGTAGAAACATTTTAAATGTGCATTCGTATTTAAATAAACATTTATTCCCTTCTTATAAAATAATTTTGAATTGATTGCAACATTTCAACCCTTAAAAATTACCCCTTACATTTATTTATATATTTATATATACTTTTCTAAAATTATCACCTATACACGTGTTTATTTTTTTGACGATAACTTTCTTACTTTTTAAGATTTTTAATTGCACAAATGCTCATTTCGCACGGAATTGTAAGGGCTACATGAATTTTTGAGCTGATCTTTTTTAAGCCCTTCATTTTTAAGTTTGAATTTTTAATCATCCACAAGTACTAATAGCTGTTTTACATTGACAATTTATTCATCAATAAATTGACGAAGTTCTTCATCAATTAATTGACTAATTTATTGATAAATAGTGTGGTTTTACACTGCCACGGACTTTGTCAAGTTTTTGACGTATGAATCAGTTCTATCAATGAATCAAAGAAGCAAATAAATTTAAAAAATGTCACTTTTCCACTCATAATTGTAGTGATAACAACAGCGGTACCGTTCTGACACATATAGGGTTGGTGCTTCCGAACTTCACGAAGAAATTGACGAAAATTAGAACATGCTCTAATTCGTCAAGAATAAATTGATGAAGTTATTTGACAGCTGATTTGGTGCATTACACTTGTCCAATTTCTTGATGAAGCGACTTCATCAATTAATTGACCAATAAATTGTCAATGTAAAACAGCTACAATAACCATTATTTGAATACAGACATTCGGCAAAGGAACTGAACTGTACAGATTGGATCTATCTAATCATTTTATGATTCCTTTCCGACCAATAAAAAAATCATATAATGATCTAGATACAGACATATGCGCTGCCTGTAGGTACTATCGATAGTAACTATTGTGTAGAAACAAAATGGAGCTTTAAATATCATATTTGTTGCGACTATTCTTATCCGTTTCCATGTTTATTATGTTTAGTTTGTATAGATTGTATCATAGCTTGGGGCAGTTCTGGTAAGTGTCTGTACGTTAGACTGTGTTGGTGTGTAAAAATAGTGTCTGTCTTACTCCGAATAGTGAAAAAGTGAAATGGTCTTTAATGTGCTGCATAATCTCGTTGAATTACACATAATATGTATGTAATACTGAATATGAAAACATAAAATAAAAATAACACAAGTATGGTTAAAATAATGGGTCTAGAATTGTTTAACGATACGTACTTATTTAATCAGCTATGAAAAAGTAACTCCCATTTAGGCATATTATTTATTTATTATAATCAACTAAATGAATTCATTATTTCAAAACTGAAGTTTTCACTCTTAACATATCAATATTTTCCATGCTACTATTTTATGAAAATTATCTTCTTTTCTAAATAGCCTAATCGTTGTCTACACATCATACTTACGGTATACCGCGATAATTTTTAAGATGCAAGCGCACCAAGCGGCGAAAGCAGTAAGCTCCGAAACAAGGTAATTTTGACATTGCCGTTCGCGTTTACACATTCATTTGAACAACATTTGTCTTATTTGCCATTATTAATAGTAATTTTGTTATCAAACTGCGGTTATTTCACTTTTGTGTTATTTTATAGGTTTCAAAAATTTCATAAATAAGTTTTAAGGCAAGTATTTATGTCTACTTTATTTGTCTAGCATTACAATGTAATGTACATTTTATTAAGTTATAACTATGAACTTATCCGTTGTGGAATACATTTCCTATTTACATATATGCTAACGAAAGCTCTCGTTGTATATTAGAAGGAGAGGCAGTTTTTAAGGCTGATCATGTGATACTATATGGGAAAATTGAGGAAAGTTAATTTAAATTTAGAAATTTATATTATGTCTGCAGACTAGTGCCCTTACTTACTAACAACCCTCATGAAATTCAGGGAGTATTATCTATCGGCAATAATATTTTGAAAATTTCTTCAATGGTTTGATGAAAACTTAATTCTGGATTTCTCTTGGAGCATGAAGAGCAACCTTGAACTGAACAATAATAGTTTGACAGTTTCTTCTTTCTATCCATAATTGCTGAAATTTTCCTCACACTATTTTCTTAAAATAACAGTGTTCAAAAAACGAACACTAAATTCAGTTTTAAATAAAATACAAAACGAAATGTCACACACAGAAGAAATATTTACCTTGTTTCGCTAGTATCACTTGTCACCGCCAGAGGGCGAGCTCTTAGCTGCATTCGCGAATAGTTTTTTGGATGTGCCATAAAAAATTCCTTTATTCATATAAAAATATTTTTACTAATATCATTCAAGTGTTTATGAGAATGATACCAAATGTCAAATATATACAATTTTGAGATATGCCATAAATCTTGATATTAATTTTTAATCAAATATATCGTGACATTCAATCTCTACGGCATTTCTGTATAATCTTACGGACCCTTACCAGTATTTGCCAACAAATCGAGTTGTATCAGAGACAATATTTGTAGACTTTCCATGTGTTGATATCGAAGAAATTGCAATTTTTCCCCGAAATGGAAGCAAAAAAAAATTGCAATTTTTGCTAGTAATATTGCTGTGTTGGTGTCAGCTGGGACAGGTGTCCATTATAGTGCTCTCTATGTATACAGTGCCCATTAAAATAGTAAAACCCAAACAACTGTCTTTACATCAACCTCCCTCGCCCCTACGTTGCCGAGGACTTCGCGGGAGATCAAGATAGGTACGCGAAAAATACCCGCTACTGTCCCAACTGGCACGCAATTTGCTCTGTCACCTCCTCTTCTTTTAATGCTTGCTTGTAACGTTTAGTGTTTAATGTTCTCTGGTTATCCAAACACCTGCTCAGATGTGAAAGCTAACTCGAGTTCTCCATTGACAAAGAAGCATAACTGACAGTTCAAACTTTTGCTCTACTTCAATCAAAACGTTGTTCGGACAAAGCCAGTTGAGTGGATAATCCAGGACTCAAGTTGATGGAAATCAAAGCGGACGCTTTGTTTTCCTCCAGCTACTACCATTACAAAGACCATGGTAGCTCTAACTGTATTTGTTTGTGGTGGATATGTGTTGGAAACTATTCATGACAATCACGTTTTCCTTCTCCCAGCATGGTTGTAGCTTCTGTATGAAACTTTGCCGACACGGATTGTTTTATTTGTGTGTGCGTTGCATATTTTTTATTAAAGTGGACCATTTTCCGAGGAAAATAACGCGACTAAACATTTTAACATATAGCAATTCCTACATAACGTCGAAATACTTGGGATAGTATCGCTACGTATTTAATTTATAGGTTTCCTTCCCGTAGTAACACTTTTAAAGTTATTCGAAAATGAATTTTATGATTGTATTCTCTGTATTCTTGGTCATTTTTTAATTTCCTTAACATGGCTTAGAATAACAGTATATTAAAAGACCGCAGAATTTTTGGATAACTTTAAAAAATTTGCATGTTATTGTGAATGTATGTATTGTGAAATATTGAATAAGTCGCACATTACTTTTAAATCTTCAAAAAATTTTGACCCCTTTGCGTTAAAAGCTATATATATTTTCATTATTTTCATTACAATTTATAAAATGAAATGGTAGAATTTTATTTATTTTTCGTTGGCTATGGCCCTCTTGCGGTATTTCTTTGTTATTAAAATTAACTGACCTTGTTTTGTGTTCAGAGTTCAATGGCATTGGTACGTTGTTGTGTTGCGGGTTGCAGGATATGAAAAAAAGGTTATATGATATGCTGAAAATGTGAATGTATTTTAAAGTAAATAAAGTTAAATTTTTAAAGTAAGTAACATGGTTTTCAAGGAAAGAGGTCAGAAATTTAGAATGTATATTCACTTTGGTGAGATCTTATGTTTTTTGTACTTCTGAGAGTCTTGAGAAAATGGGTAAATTTTCCTTATAAATAACTCAACCAAAGTTATTAAAGCCGACATTATATTAAATACTGACGATGAAGAATGAGATCAACGTATTAGAATTCATTAAAGATTAAGTGAAAAAGCCTGGCTAAATTAAGTACTCCCATTCATCTCAATAAAACTTTTCCACCTACTTGGAGCTCTATCTATTGTATCATGAAGGTTTATTGAGATACCGGTCTATGGGGATGACACATACCAAAATTTATAAAGCATTCTACATTCTACATATAAACACAAATTAAGGTCTCTAGATAACTCGCCTAGTGATTTTTTTTGCAAATTAATTAAAAATGTCTATATTGTACCAAATATTTTTTATTTAGCATATTTTAGTACATAATAGTTTAAACTGTGGTAACTTTGAGATTTTACAATAACTTAGTCGTCAAAAACTCTGCACTGCCATTTATGTCTTTTTTGCTTTGTGAAATTTTCATAGGTGTCTAAGAACAGTACAGAACAATCTCTAAGCTTCTAAGAACATGATAGAAAGAAACAGAACATATTCTAGAAACATGAAATCACGCCGAATACTAACATGTTAGTTATTTTGCAGGAACAGCTCGCAAGGGAGCGATGCGTTTCGGGAAGGATCCAAATTCAGGTATGGTATCACGACGAGCGGAAGGAATTGGTTGTAGCCGTACTAGCCGGAGACGATTTGGCCCCCCGTGACGATAGTTTGGGGTTTGGTGCCCTTCCAGAGGCTTACGCCAGATTATGTTTGCTCCCGCTAACGTAAGTATCCAAAATTAAAACCCACAACAACATAATTATAACAAATACGAGTAACAGTAGATTAACAAAGTTTCCGTGTTTCACAATGAAATAAAAACGATATAGATGTGATTTTAAAGTAAACGAGTATCACACGGGGCAACTGTATATAAAATTATTTAAAATCAAAATTAAACAAATTGAAAGAAGTGGTAAACATTGCAATTGTCGGGTTCTAACACTGTGCATATTCCAGAACGGAAGACCACTGCGTGCAGACGGAGGTAGCCCCGGTCAGCCAGAACCCCATCTGGAATGCCAACCTAAGCTTCCCCGGGGTGCCCGGCGAGGAACTCATGGAACGCGTCCTAGAAATAACCTTATGGGACTTGATTCCCCACAACGAACACGCATTCCTCGGCGAATGCTCCGTAGACCTCCAGAAGGCGTTCCTAGACGACAGGGCGGTGTGGTGCCGGCTAGAAGACCCCAGACAGCTACGAGGAAAGTCGCCACATACCTCGCCTAGAGGTTCCATCGCCGGTACCGGCAAACGCGGCGATTTCGGCAACCAGAGAAGCGTATCCGACGATTTGGACTCCATCGGGGAATGCGCCAGTCTGTTGCACCCCGACCACGCTTGGGGGTCCCGGAGGGGTTCATCTCAGTCTGAGCAGCTGGAGGTGGAGGTGTACGAGCTGGGAAAGGACTTCTCCAGGTCGCTTCCCGGTTCCCGTAGATCCTCTTTCCAGTCGCCGCAGGAACAGCAGACCGCGGAACAGGAAAGGCCAGCGGTACCGCCCCCTTCTTCTTACAATCGGGATCGGAGAAGGAGCAGCTGCACGAGGATGTTAAGGGATCCGGAGGAGATCCTGAAATCGCTGAAAGCGGTTAAAGGGGAGCTCGGAAGGACTATGAGCTTAACTGGAGACAAAAGGGGTAGAAGTAAGTGTACTGGAATTCCCATAAAGTCATACCTTTTGTGCTTTCACTTTAATCTAATCTTTTTACGAGACTTCCTCAGTTAAACACAAAATTGTAAATTAATTAACAAAAAATTAGTAACATTAAAATCGTATTAGTTCACCTGTTGATATACCTGACAAACTTTCGACTCGTGTAGTAGGCATGGGTAGTTAACATAACCTACAAGGTACATACATACCATTATGTCATTCCTACTCGGTGCCTACTGTCACAAGGCATTATTACTTTGTGCCTACAGGTGTAGGTAGCTTTGTGAGATATAACCTATAAACAATATGTCATATCTTAAATGTCATTGCTATTCAATGCCTACTGACACAAAGCATTGCTTTATACCTACTGGTAGAAAGTGACCTACTAATGAAAATGCAGTGTAACGAACCAGTAACGACATACACTTTTTCACAAATAGGTTTTCAGGGAGATAAAGAATTGCAACCTTGAACAAATCAACCATATCGAAAAGGAGTAGATTATATAGTTCTTAGAGAAATAAAATTGTTTATTTGCATCTTTTATGAACAGCGTTTAGTCCTTTCCTCTACAATTTTGTTGACTGTGGAAGTTTCGTCTTTGTATCTCACTCTCTCTAATATTTTTCCTTTCTCTCTTTCCCACTTTAATCTTAAGCGGAACTATAGCCGCATTTTGGTGAGACGTTAAATAATCAGCAAGTATTTATATCAAAGTAATTTTTTTTGCAACGAAGTACCCCTTTGCTTCTGTGTTGTCTGTGACCCCTGCAAAGTCATCCGCATAGGCGGAAGTAATGTTTATTTTTACCGATAGTGTAAATTGACATTAGTAGCTTACTGGAGAGGTGCATAACTTGATCACATCACGATTTTAAGTAGTCGAAATGTTAATTTATCCGATTTTAGTTATCAGTCGGCATGAAATTAGCCGTTAGAGTTTATGAAACGAAGATATCTGTACCTGTAACTACTTGTAGTTTGTTAGTGGTCAAATTATGTCGCTTTAATAAATGGAAATAGGCGACTTAGTTGCCTGCAGGATCGAAACCGGCTAACATCGTCATACACGCATAATTTGCATGCATTTCAGTGCGACTATTCTGAAAATCCATTTAGATCAATTGTTGATTTTTAATTGTGTATGTTTTGCTCAATCTTTTGGCTACTTTCTCCTAAGACATCAGCATCGTCTTTACTACTTACATGATATAACCGACCGATGGGTTTGCTTAGTATAACGGTTATAATTAGATTTTTAGTTTGTACTTTTTTAGTCGCATCTTATTAGACCGATCAAAATAACTCATTTAGAGGGGAAATAAAGAAAATTGTTACCTGGGCTTTTATAAATGGAAATAGTAAAGGGGCTTGTAATAAACGAAAAAAATAAATGCGTGAGTAGTATCTAATACAAAAGTTGTAGATCATGCAAAAATCTACAACTTTTGTAGAGATCATTATTTAACATAACCTCAAAATTTCCGAGAAAAATGCGGAAAACTATTTTTTTTCTGATTTTTCGTTTTTTATTTCTCATTTTCGCTAAAATAATTTAATTTTGACGAAACTTGGCGGAAGTATACCTTTCTCTGTCTTAAATAACCTCAAATTTTTTTAGATAAAAAAATCAAGAAGTTTCTGAGATATTCATTTTTCTTGGCCTTCAAAGAAAAATTCTACTTAAAAAAATCATCGTACAGAGTTCTGCGGGTAATTATTTTCTTTCGTTTTGACATACTTTTTTTTGAAATAAAAAAATTTGTAATGAACATTTCAAAAACATGCTCAAAAATGCAAAAAAGTAAAAATTGTCTTGCAGCAATGAATTTTTCAGTATTTGTTGATAAACGAAAAAAATAATTACTGGCAGAACTCTGTACTATTTTTTTAAGTAGAATTTTTCTTTGAAAAAAAGTGTTTCAGGCCGAAAAAAATGAATATCTCGGAAACTTCATGATTTTTTTATCTTAAAAAAGTTGAGGTTATTTAAGACAAAGAAAGGTATACTCTCCCCAAGTTTCGTCAAAATTAAATTATTTCTGCGGAAATGAGAAATAAAAAACAAAAAATCAGAAAAAAACCTGTTTTTCGCATTTTCCTCGGAAATTTTGAGGTTATTTTAAAAAGTAACCTCTACAAAAGTTGTAGATTTTTGCATGATCTACAACTTTTGTATTGAATACTTTTTTGTTTGACGTCAACTTTCGCCAGAAATCCCAATGATACAATTTTTCATAACTTTTCAACCCCCCAAATCAACCCTCCACCGCCCCTGCTCACGCATTTATTTTTTTTATTTTTATTATAAGCCCTTTTGCCATTTTGACTTATAAAAGTCCAGGTAACAATTTTTTTTTCTCCAAGTGTAGGTTGGACTATATCTAGTAAATATCCCATCAGCATAAGACGCGTTTCATTAAGCAAATTTCTATAGTTCCATCGCCTAAAGCAGTAACACCATAGCATGGGAGTCGGACAGATTTAAATAAATATCAGTGAGATTATTTCTTTGAAATTTGATCATATTTCAACACAATCACAATTGATGTACAGGATGTTTTGAAAGAGGGTGACGTTACCTGTTCAAAATTGGCGTCCCTATTTGTAAGTCCGTGAGCAATAAATGATGAATTACTAAGAGCAAAATAAACGCAAAGGAATCGTGTACCCTTAAAGAATTTTAGCTAGAAATCTGTACAAGATAATCGAAAACTAACAACACCAAATATATTTCGGTATCCTTAAAAACTTGTTTGTACCAAATTTTATGTCCCATGAACAACTTAATTTATGCCACCTGTTTTCAATACACCCTGTACAACAACAAAACCGAAAGGGAGAACGTATTAAACAAATGTTATCTTCTGTGACAGGATCGGCAAGCGGACCTTCGGGTAGGGAGGGCCGAAAAGACAGCGTCTTGGAGGTAGCGGAAACGGCGAAGGAGAGCCCCCCCTCCAGTCCCGAACGCACCTCGCCCCCTCGCTTGGGCCCGGGACAAATAAAACCCAGGGGATTCCGCCTCTCCAGCACTCGCCCGGTGGAGATCAAGCTGGGCCTGCTGATGACCAAAGGCCAGTTGGAGGTCGAGGTGGTGTGCGTCCGCCACATCCCCCCCAGGGAAACCCCGCCAGACACCTACGTGAAATGTTACCTCCGCGACGGGGAACGCTGGCTGCAAAAGAAGAAGACGCGGGTGGTCAAGCACTCCTGCGAGCCTCAGTTCCGACAGACTCTGAAGTACCAGGCGTGTGACGTACTGGGACGCAGCCTGGTGGTCATGCTCTGGGAGAGGCAGGGAGGTTTCGAACACAACCAGGGCCTGGGGGGAGCGGAGGTCGCCCTGGATTCGCTTACGCTCACCCACCTGACTACGGGATGGTACCCGTTGTTCCCCATTCACTCCCTCGGCTCCGACTCGAACGATTCGCCTTGACCTGCTCCGGAGAGTCCATAGAGAGCTCGTTTGCATTAAACATTCCGTAATACTTGAATTTTCTTTCCGTGGGGAAGCCGTTGAGTAGCGGGAATTGTTTAATTCCCATTATTGGCGACTTTCCCTCAGTATGATTTCGAAATTTAGAATATTTTTTTATTATTTAGGTTTTTGTTCCCTACAGTTGAAAATAAGTCGCATTCTCCCGGAGACTACCAAAACAAAAACGCGCACCTCCTTATTTCATTGCTGCGATCGGAAAAACATTAACTTTGCCCCTGCTCACGTACCGTTGCGGTAAAGGATCATCGTCAAAAAAAAATCACACACTACGTAATTGTAAATCATATCAGTTATTTAACAAATCACTATTGTAAGGACCAATATTTTATACATTCGTTATTAAAATTATTTTTCTATCGATTTATCATGGGATTTGATTTGCTAATCGAGAAGTAAGTTTGGGGGTTACCGAACTAATTTAAATAAATGAAATAGGTCGTAAATGTATCATAATGAATGTAAAGACTATTAAATGTGGTATATACACCAATGTATATAAAATATAATTAGCCGTAGGGTGTCTACATGAGGTTCTTCAACATTTCCCTGGATACGATACACAGCCGTTTCCCGCATCAGTCTTTTATCACGCTAGTTACTCAATTAATGTTAATCATTTACCTGAAACCGACAATCTTATTAAAATTGGGATGTTTGTAGGTAACGACAAACTATTAAGAAACTCCCCGTTTGGCCTAATTTACCTCAATTACCTCCGAAAGGTGATGCTAAACAACGCGTTGTCGTTTCAGTACAGAGCAACGGATTAATGGTAAATATTTTACGAACGATGCAATTTTTGAAGTAATTTCTCGAAACGTAATAATTCTTGTCAGTTCGTTATATTTCGTTAGAGGAAATTACAAAACGTTAACGATTATTGTGATGTTTTAACTACGTTTCTATCGAAATAATAATAGCTTCTATACAATCCTTTCTATGCTGACAAAGAAATAATTGATTTAACGAAGAAATTTAATAACCACCATGCTTTGAGTAGAATAAGTACATCAATATAAGGAATTACCTTTGTTAGTTCAAATATCGAGACCTAATATTTGTTACATTTGTGTATATATTTTAACTTGACATCCCAATATTAAATTCTGGAAGTTGATGCCAGCAATTACGCCATCTAATTTTTTTATGCGTATTTTTATCATAACGGATAAAGTAAGTATCTACACTGGCAGTAGCAACACAATTTAAGATGCAAAATACACTTTGTAGGTTACCTCGCATAGAGCGACCTACTCAGTAGGTACAAAGTAATACTTTACTACTAGTAGGCGTTGAGTAGCAGTGACACAAAAAATGACAGATATGTACTTTGTAGGTTATATGTCGCAGAGCGACCTACACGAGTGTGTAGGTACAATTAAACGTCTGTAATAGCCGTTTTACATTGCGAATTTATTCATGAAGTCGCTTCGCGAAAAAATTGGATAAGCGTAATGTAACAAATCTGCTGTAATGAAGTTCTTCACGAATTTGGAACAAGTTCTAATTTCTAATTATTTTCGTGAAGTTCAGAAGTACCAACACTACCAATTCAACAAATCTTCAGCCTCGGGTCAATCAATAGTGAGGTTATGTTAGTAGCGTATGGAAATAATTGTGTGGGATCTTACTATTTTTGTATTGTTTTTCTGATCTATTGCTTACAAAATCGAATATTTATAAACAGTGTCAAAACGGTACAGCTGTTGTGCTATTACGTATATGTAGAAAGGTAAAACAATTTTTTTGAAATGAAATTTGAAATTTATTTGCTACTTCGCTTTGTTGATAGAACTGATGTAAGTAAGTGTCAAAGAAATTCTGAAATCTGTAGAAGTGTAAAACCAAAACCTTTATGAACAAATTCGAGAATTAATTCATGATAAACTTCGTGAATTTATTCATGAATAAATTGTCAACGTAAAACAGCTACTATTACAGAAAACAAAAATGGCATCGGTAATAGTTTTCTCCGTCATTTTTTTTTGACCACGTTTACTTTATTACTAGAGCTCGATGTGAACTTCCAATGTTTACCACGAATTAATCTTGAAGCAACAAAAATTTACCCGATACAAACGAATACATCAGTCCTTAAAAAATCACTTGCTAGTGTTGTGCGTTCCCACCGAAATATTTAATGAGGTTTATTAACACAAGGAAATGTATCTGTAAAGTAGTATACACTCTAAAATGTAACACAATGCATGTTTTAAATGTTAGTGACATTCCATTTATAAGAAAATAAACGTTACTTTCCCAAGTTCTTGAAAATATTCAAACATGATATATAGAAAACGTGTTCTCTGTACGCATTTAAGTAAAAGTCAACGACTACTTTCAAAGCTAATTCATGTGATTTAGTATTAATAACAGTTAGACAGTCAATGAAGCGCTAGTCATCGTTTATACAGTTTACCGCAGAATTACTGATTAACCTAGGTAGTATTTGTCGGTCAGAGCAACTTCTTATATAAGTGGAATGGTACGTTTAAATTTTCTCCTGTAGAATGACATCATCATCTGACAGGATTCTAATGAATGATACGACTGAAAAGCCCTGTTAGTGAGATCATAGGTTCTGTCTTCCGTAGCGTAGCAGACCACATCCTTACGTAGTAGATATTCGGATGAAAACCTGTCTATATTTTTATGAGATAAATGTGAGATCATTTATTAAGATCGTATGAGACTTTTGATACAAAATGATTTAGACTTGTGTATTTCCTAGCTTGTTTCTAAATAAAATCAATGGCCTAACATTGAAACATGACAATCCTCTTAAATATGGACGATACTCATTTGTAAATGTTACTATATTTGTGTCGACATATCCCTTAATCTAGCTAGTGACAATCTGTTCATGTGATGTTCCATTATGTTCCTTGAAACTGGATTACGATTTTCTTTTCTGTAGTCTCAATTAAGGGTTAGATTATCGTCTGTAATTCAGATTCAAGCTCTGTCTACACGTCTGTGTACATCCTGGTAACAAAATGTAAAATATTTTCGATTTGAAGTGGATTTTGAAATGCCTACTCAATCACTTACCAGTAAACACATTTATTAATTAGATTATTCAAACCTTAGTGTGGCCCACTAAGAACAGGGACATCCCTCTAAATCTTTTTTTGGATGAACAATTCAAAAATCGCCAAAGCGACTCCCAAAAATCACAGCAATCCATGCATCGCCTACTAGACCACCATAAGTGGTTCAGTTAACTAGATCTAGAAGGCCACTATCCAATTTGTTCTTTACGGGCCACCCTGTATATTTTAGAACATAAAACTTTGAATAATAAACTGTATATTCAATTTTTCCCAAGAAAAATATTACGTTTGTTACCAGAACATAGTTTATACATGTTATCGCTGTGCCATGGAGCATGATTGTTAATGTTAAAGCATTACCGCTTAAGTTTATTTAAGAAGTGTAAAAATACATGCATATATATGTGTGTATATATAATTATAAATGTGTTAAAAACCGAATTATTTTTGTTATACTACAAAGATAACCATAAATGTATTGTTCCTGTATGTAAGAGCTGAATATATAAAATAATAAAGTCTTCTTAAAGAATTTTTATTGTGATTAACTCTAGGATATTTTTGAAACACAAAAAATGTTTAAAATAAATTAATTCTCAACTTTTTACCCAAAACGAGGATAGATTAAAAATTTTAGACCCGCGCCTTTCAATTTTATCTCATTCGTCATAAAAACGTGCCGTGACGCCATATCCCCGAGATTTTAAATCAAAACCTTTTACAAAATAATAATTTTATTCTGTTTATACGTGCTAATAACAATGCTGAGCAACTTATTGAAAGGAAGCAGTTTAAGCTGGCTGAAGAGGTCGTCCACGTGTCCGTATATGGCGTTTACGGAATACGCTACTTGTATGGCCTGCGCGAACCTGTCGAGGGATAATTGCAAGCAATCCTCGTTCAGTATCTGATCCAATTTTAACTCCTGTTTATTTTTCAAGTCGTTAACGTACGCCAATATCGGGTTAATGGGATGCGCTAAATGTTGAGCGTATACGGCTTTCGGAGGTGCGACCCTCGGTATTTCGAGAAAGCCGTTAAGCAAAGCCAAATGCAGCTGGCTGTATAAATTGACGTCTTGTTTATATATGGGGGCTAAGATGCACCATTTCAATAAACCCGCGATCGGAGTCGTCGCTTCCATCGCGATGGCACCGGGAGGCAAAACTGCTTGCCTCTGTTGGGCTGCTATGCACAAACTGCAGTTGTTGGAAATCTGCAAGTGATATACAACTGTTATTGTCTATTTTTGTAATATAAACTATCGGCAAAAGTTGACAAAGTTAATAATTGTCAAAGCAATTTAAATATTTGTACAATGTGCCGGATCAAAAGTTAAAAGTAAAAAAAAAACACATTATATATGTTATGATAAACACTTACCCAGAAAGTAATTATCTCTAACAAATTCTTGGGAGGGAATAAAAGCTCCCTCTTCGATACGGCAAAATAGTTCTCGGACATGGCAGTCATTAGATTGGCTGTAAATTGTGGAGAAATGCTAGGTAGATTCTTTAATCTCTCTGTAGAGTCCGGGGAAAAATAAAAATAATCCTGAACTAACGTCTCGGCTAATTTACAACAATTTACAGATGTATTTCCCAACTGTTGCATCCACACGCTTGCCATCATCAATATCGTTGGTGAAGGAATGCCAACTGCCACTGAAACCAGTTTGCTCAATATTCCTAACCTAATTGAGGCTGTAGTTCCGCTAAATAAAGATAAGAAAACCGTGTTTCTTGCCGACTCGCTTGGGATGCTATTAAAATATTCAAATAGTATTTCCAGAAGCTGCAGTTCAAGTAATGGAGTTAAACCTTGAGTCCTCTTATTTCCTCTTCTATCTACTTCGTAAAATATAAATTCCGCCATTAAATCTAAAGCCAGATCCATGTGTTTTATGCTCGTTATTCGACTGCATACTAACTCGACTAAAAAAAGTATTAAACAATAAACTATTGAAATATATATATTATAAAATATATGAATACCTATTTTATTTAAGGCCTCTTTGGCACACAAGGGATACTCTATTTTTCTTAAAGTCTGCTTTAGATTAACTTCAGACGCTGCTGACATATTTAATATTTGTCTAGACTCGTCGAAGCATAATATCAAATTAAATTAGATACTTATAAGTTAAAAATTGATGAACTTCGGTTGAAAGTAAATACCAAGTCTCGTTATATTTTTTAAATAAATAAATATAAAAAGTAAGGTTAGTAATTTTTAGTTTGTTCTTCTTCTTCTTCCTCCTAATTTTAGCTATTGTCTGACAGATCTATTAAAAAATTGAAACATTTCTCAATGGCAGTATTTTCATTTTGCTAAATGGTAGATAATAAATAAATTAAATAGTTACGAGCAACATATTACAAAAATAGAATTTACCGTAAACTTATTACAAATTATTAAAGTTTTAGCTGTATTTTTCATCGGGGGTAAGGCAATGCGATGGAAATAGGTGGTAAATATAACAGCCAACCTGAAAATAAAAATCCCTAAAAAGTGAATTCGGGAGGTGTGGAGACGCCATTTGCTTTGTCTATCTACGGCGAAGCTCACAGGAAGTAGATGTTGAAATAAATAACACTTATTTAATCGCTCGAAGAGAAAAACTTTGTGTACCAGGAAGCGCAGAATCAAAAAAGGTAAGAATTACAAGTCCGTGCAAATTAAAGTGCTCAGCTATTAACAATTCTTTTTACCTAAGATTGTGTTATGTATACAGTTAGTTGATTACCGAGAATACTTCGTAAAAATTTACTAGTTCGATTTAAGTACCTGCGCGAGAGACTTTTAGTAGTTTGTGTTGTGAATATCGACGTTTTAAGTCAAATAAGTTTGTAGTTTGGAATAAAATGTTTTTCATGAAGAAGCAAATTGTTATCTCGCAGTGTTTTTATGGTAAAGAAGGAGTTGGCGGCAGACCGAAGGTAAGATTAAAATAACAACGGTCTCAAAAGATTTCCTAAGCAGAAGTGTTAGAACTGTCCACTCAAACTGGTTTAAAAAAACAGTATTATATTTTGCTAATTTTACCTTTTTTTTTAAATCTAGTTCACTGACACATGGATTCTGAGGATTCTCGAGATGCTTCTTCGGGAAATGAGAGTGACGATAAAGAGCAGCATAGTCCTGCCAGTACACGGTCGAGAAGTCGAGAATCCAATGCGAGATCAAACAGAAGCCAGTCTAGATCGTCGTCTCCACCAAGCCGGCATCAATCGGCTTCTCCACAAAGTCGCCCGATTTCCCCAGATAGCGCACCTCAGTCTCCTCAAAATGATATCTCGTCGAGAAAATCCTCAGATGCCCATTCGGCTGCGAGCGGATCCAGTTCGTCGGACGACGAAGGGTCTCACTCGAGAAGCAGGCCTTACACGCCTAAATCACTCGAAAGCGTGTCTTACCAAAAGGGCGATCATAAATCAGGAACGCCTTCTCCCGGTTCACCAGCTAGCGAACACAGGTCGTCTCGATCGGGGAGTCCCACTCAAAACGAAGCTCCGCCGATGGCCCCGCGTTCTCCCTCTCATAATTCATCACGAAGCAGTTCCCCAGGTTCCCCTGCAAGGGCGGCAACAAAGACCCCTGTTTCGGATAACGAGAATGCCTCTGTGAAATCGGCGAGCAGCCACAGCTCCAAAAAGTCAAGATCTAGCAGGGTTTCGGACAGATCTAGCTCTTCGCAGGGTTCTAGAAGGTCGCGGGGAAAGTCTAACGACGGAAATTCCTCCGATTCGAGCGAAAGCAGTGTAGATTCTTCAAGTAGGAGGAATAAGAACATCTCGAAGAACGCGGACACGCAGCCTGAGGAAATATCTGACGGTACGAACGTGAAATTTTTCAATAAGCGTGGCCTAATTTAAAAAAAATTGCAGGTGACATGGAATCTGATAACGAGAAAGTGGAAGATGTCCCAAAGGAAAGCAGCGTTTCTAGGCCTGAAATTAATATATCGCACGAGGATTTGTCGGACGTTTCCGATTTGGAAGATTGCATCGGCGATAATTCCGACGACGATCGTCAGGATCGTAAGGACGAGGAGGGTGTGCAGGAGAACTCCAACAATCACTTGAACGAGAAAAGTAAGAGCGTCTCACCGGAGCCGAAAAAGGTAGGATTTATTCGTTTATCTCCGTTCTAAAAGTTGTATAGTTTACGATCTTTTTCTTTGATGTAATTTTTATACAGGGCGTATATTAATCTGGAAATACCAGCGAATTTCATGAATCTGGAAATATCGGGGAATTGTAAAATAATTTTCATTTTTAAGCATATCTATTACGGTTTTTATTATATTGAGGGTGTTCAAAAGTGCACAAATCAAACTTTGGGTCAATAAAACATATCGAATTAAAAAAAAATGTCCCAAATCCTGAAAATTTACACAGAAATGCACACATTTTTTCACACATTTAAACCAAAACAAAAAAAAATTGAGTTTTTTTTACATAAAAACCATTTTGCGTTTTTTTTTATATTTAAATTACATTTTCGAGTACATCAACATTTTAAAGTTCTGGAATGAGACTGAATTTTAAAGTTACAACTGTTCAAACTTCCCTCTTTGCGCTCGCTTTATGCTTCAACGGAAAAAAAATGCGTAGGTTGTAGAGAAAAACAACCGCACGGAAGAGGGCGAGGAACAGTTAGATTTCGAAGCCGAGGACGGCGAATGCGGCGAAATCGAACCGTCGAGAGATGAACCCGACGCGGAAAAACCCGCCAACGTGGAGGAAGGCGCCAGAGCGGACGAGAAGAAAGAGGATAGGGAACTGGAAGAGGGCGAAGTCACGGACGAAGACGACGCCAGACCCGAGGAAACCGAACCGAGGCCAGTCTGTAGGTTCTTCTCCAGAGGACAGTGTACTTGGGGGGCCAGCTGTCGGTTTCTGCACCCAGGCGTAACGGACAAAGGTACAACTTGTTTTAGGCATAAAAAATTTGTAACTTGTCACACGCAATTGGAAATTTTCAGGCAACTACACCATGTTCGAGTTGATTCGGCCGGTGGTTCCCGGAGAATTCGGGCGCGACGAGAGGTTGTACGGGAAGACGGAGCCCCCGCTCGTGGAGTCGGCTTGGGAGAGGGGGCTTCGCACGGCGAAGGAGATGTTGAGGAAGTCCGTAAAGAGGAAGGAGCAGGATATCGATTTCGAGGAGAAGAAGATGAACCTCAGTCTGGCCCAGGAGGAGTTCGATAAGGAAAACGGGTATTACGGGAGAGTGCCGTCGCCAGAGCCAAGGTAATTATACGCTAATAAAAAAAAATTGTAAATTTTATTTATAAATTTGATGAATTAATTTCATTCGAAAGTTAATTTTTTTAAAACTCATTTATACAGGGTATTTTTTTATTCTGAATTTTACAAGATTATTTGATTTTTTTCATTTAATTGTAGAAACAGGTTGATTTATTTTAATGTGTTTACGATATATGTACTCTGCCAAATATGGTGGATTTTGTATAAAAAATTTAAAAAAATCGTTTTCGAGATATTGAAAATTAAGAAAAATATCTCATTCATTTACATGCAGGGTGATTTGGAACTTATCAAAAAAAAAATTCTGGATGTACAAGGGACTTACAAATACAATTTTGTAAAGAAAAAATCAAAAATCAGTTCGAAAATGATTTAAAAATATACTTCTGCACGGCACTGGAAACTGGTCCACTGTAAAACCTGACCTCAACCAATGCGACTGGCATAGAGATGTGATAAAAACGGACAAAAACTTTAGCAAGGAAAGAAATAAATAGAATTTTATAGCGCCTATTTTATATCGGCAAATTCAACAGCTTTTGCCTTTATTAATTAATAAAATTAATTTGTGTTTTTAAATAATAAAATCATTTAACATACCCGATGTTACAACAACAGTTGTTCAAAATTTTATCCGTGTAAACTCATTTGGGTCCGTCTTACTAACTTTATATGAACTAAGACAAATGTTGTCTTACTTCACCATAAATTAAAACGATATCCATCAACTCCGAGTTGCTATACACGCAAACCATTTTTGACACTAATTACGAAAAAACTATTGTAAATACCACAGATAACAGGTAAACACTATCGCAACGACGACTGCAAAATGGATTTCAATATTCGGAGTCGCTGAGGCCACGTGGCTCTCCACACTTATTACGAATGACGCTAGAGACTACAGTTGTCCAGCTATGTAGTGGTTGAATGTACTAAAACTTCAATAATTTTTTCCTCGGAAACTATAAGGATTTTACAAAAAATTTTTTACGATATTCTCCATTTCTATTGCCACATCTATTCCTAAATTTTTTTGAATAAGTGAATAGGTGCTAAATTTCAAAAATTATCTACAATCACCGGAGTTATCAATAAAAATCATTTTTTAAATTTTTATTTTGACACCCTGTATATCTCGAAAATTAAACGCTCTTTGATTATTTTTCCGTTAGGACGTTGTTTTTCTTATTTTGGTCACCCGAATTCAAATTTTAATTATTCCTAATTAAACTTTAAAGAGTTTCAAGATTTCTGGAAATATTCGGCATTGAAATAGTTTTTTGTTTTTCTCAAAAATTGAGAAAAACCACATTTCAGCCATGATTGCTAATATAAAATAAAATATAACTCAAACGTAATTTTAATAAAAAAAATATTTTATGATCTTTACACGAATTAACGAAATATTTTTTGGTTTTTAACTTTTACGTCGAGTTTTGGTTGAAAATCACTTCAATTTAATTTTTATTTTAATTTTTATTCGATTTTTAATTATATGAATGTTTTGTTAAGGTTTATTCCAGCAAAGTATATCTGGAAAAAGTTTCGCAACTATTTTTTTTACTGTTTTTGTTTTATTCCATCAATATTTCCATTATTTTTTATTTATTTTTTATTGTTTTGATTTGTTGACTGTTCACGTTACTTAATTTCACTAACGAAAATTAGAACCGCCCTGCATTCCAAACAACCGCCCGATTCCAGATACGTCAGGCACGTACCGGTAGAATACCCCGTGCCGAGGCCGCCCGAAGAATACTACGGCAGGAGGCAAGTCCTGTACGAACCCGAATACGTCCCGCCGCCCCGCGAACGGGTACGTCCTTACAGGGAACTACCCTCGCACAGGATGCCGGATTACTACAACAGCAAGTACGAGGAGGAACCCCAGTCCTCCGCCAAGAGGCCGAGATCCAAGCGCGAGGTCATCGTGCAGAGGGTCGAGGAGAGACAGGGTAGGGGCGACGAGTGGTCGGATCCCTGGATGAGGTCGAAATCGCCCGGACGGAGGAAGGAGAGCGGCAGGAAGCGTTCTTACAGTTCCGGCTCCAGTTATTCCTCGAGCAGTTCGTCGAGGAGTTCGTCAGAGTCCAGTCGTAGCTCGTACAGGTCTCGGTCTAGATCGCCGCAGCACAGGAGGGCGTCCAGGTCCGGACGGAGCAGGCAGATCTCGCCATCGGTCATAGTGTCGGAAAGGAAGGCGGCGAATGAACGGGCCGCCCTGATGAACCCACCGGCTCCGAAAAGGAGGGCACCGTCACCAGGTTAGTGACGTTTTTTTGGAATCGTTTTTGTTCAATAATCGTTCTTGACGCGTAAAATTGGGGTTCATCAATTTTGAACAAATTTTGTGTACAGAGCATTGTTGTTATTTTTTGCTCGGCTAGCTCCATATTGTCATATCACATCAGGTGGATTGTTATTACTGGACAGAAAAATGTTGGAGATCTTCGATACTCAGATTCTCAAACTTAACACAGTGCTTTAAAAAAAAGAGTAACAAATACTTTTTATTAAAAACTTGAATTGATTTTAAAAAACATTTCAAATCTATTGGATTTGTATTTTTATTTATTTTTTAGTATATACATTTTATGAAACGGCAAAAATAATTATTTTTCAACTAAAATTAATTTATCCATACATCGATATTCGTTAATATTTTAATAAATCAAGGAAAAAATACAATACGTGGTGATATGGTGGTACAAAATTATTTTCCATTGCAATTCACTTTGTTAGTTGCACACAGTTGGTTGGAAAAGGTAATAACAGGCAACACTTATCGAAGGACTTAGGGTACTGCCCAGTGACGGCGTAGACGAGAGTTCAAGTGCAGTTTAAAAGATGAACGATAACTCGGTTATTTGATTAAAAAATATATATATTTCAGTAAATAATTTCAATAAAATCTTTAAAACGTGCAATATGTGCGTTTAAATATTTAACCATTTCGCAAATTCCACAGAAACAGTATGTGGAAGTTAGTTTTCTGCGAAATAAGACAAATATCGTAACGGATTGTTCTTGTTTGCCACAAAACGGCAATTTGGCAAATTTAATAGTAGTAGAATCCGTTCAAAACGCGTACATTTTACGATAACCTATCACCGTAGGTATGATGAGGGTGAGCGGCGCGGCGAATCCCCCGGCCCCGTCAAGGGAAGACCAGTTCGGTAGGAACCGGAGCAAGTTGGCCGTCGCCGCGGCTCTAGCGAGAGTTAAGGGCCGGAGGAGGTCCTCGAGATCGTCCTCGGGTAGCTCCGGGTCCAGTTCGAGCGACTCGGACTCCTCCGATTCCAGCAGCTCCACCAGCAGGGCCGGCAGTTCACCGCCGAGGAGGCCGCCAGGTAACGAACTTGTCGATTTTATAAAAACTATAATTGAAGATGTATTTTTTTACTTTACTTAAATTTTGCCACGAGGAGATGCCGTTTTGAAAGCTTCTTTATTGACAGGAACATTTTAGTTCTTTGTTGTTTTTTTTTTGTTGGTGTTTTTTTTGTATTTTTTTTTATTTTGCATTTTTATTTTTTTTTTGTAAGTGGTATTAGACAATTTTTACTTAAAATAATCTGTTCTGGCAACTGGTGAAGTGATCTGCTCTGTTGCAGGCATGGACATATCGATCGCCAAGGCGATGGACGCACTGAAGGGCGGTTCCGCGGAGAAGAAGCAGATAAAACTTAACCTGAAGAACCCGATCGGCGTCCGGAAGCCGGACATGTCCGACTTGGCCAGGAAGCCGGATCCGTCGGCGAATAAAAAACGACCGGCCAATTCCCCGCCGCCGGGCGATCCGAAATCCAAGAAGGCCACGTCTCGCAGGGAAGAATTACTCAAGCAACTGAAGGCCGTGGAGGACGCGATCGCCAAGAAGAGATCGAAAGTGAACTAGGGCTTGGCCTGCGCCGCAGAAATTATGTTTAACTCGCGACGTCTCCCCCCCGAGGGATTCGTCCGGAATGAGTAATTCGCACGGGCAAGTATTGATGTTCTAAAAAGGAATATTTGACTCGGTTTAACTCCTTCTCGGAGGGTTACGTAGTACTTGACTGAGAGTGTACATTAATTTTCTTGTCTCTATTTTTTTTTATTCCCGTGGACGCCCCACGAATTGTTTGACTCGATAAGGTTTACGTAGTGAGTAAGGTAATTGTATTATATAAAGTAGCCGTAAGTCTGTATCAGAACTTTGAATATTGTTATCTTTTAGCGCATATCTGCAGACCTTTCGTTGTTCACCGGTTGTAAAGCCAATAAATGTTTATACACTCGCCCGACTTCGTTCTTTTCCACGTATACCGAAGCCTTTTAGAATAACTTGCCCCAAACTCGTCCTCTGAACGTGATTGGCGGCATGTTACCTGGAAGGCGTAATGTGCCGTTCGTTTCTCATATTGTTCCAATATGTTTGAATTACTGGTCGCGGGGCCTGCCTCTGTAAATGAAGGCGATAGAAAGACTTACAGGGTTCGTAGAGGCTGGGAATACCGGGAAAATTCAGGGAATTTGTTATTCTTCATAAAAAACGGGGAATAGTCGGGGAATTTTAAAAATATTCATGAAAGTCGGGGAATTTGATGTTTGCAACTGGAAATTTTGTGAAAGCCGGCCCTGGGTTCTTGAAAGAGAAAACTGTTTGTGGTTTTGACACTTATAAGAGGTTTTTAGGGTATAAAAAAAATTATGGAGTCCAGTCGAGAAAAAATTTTATGCATAAACCTCAAAATTTCCAAGAAAAATTCGAAAAACAGTTTTTTTTCTGATTTTTCTTTTTTTATTTCTCATTTCCGCAAAAATAATTTAATTTTGAGGAAACTTGGTGAAAGTATACCTTTCTCTGTCTTAGATAACCTCAAATTTTTCTAGATAAAAAAATCAAGAAGTTTCTGAGATATTCATTTTTTTTGGCCTGAAACACTTTTTTCAAAGAAATATTCTACTTCAAAAAATCATCGTACAGAGTTCTGCGGGTAATCATTTTTTCGTTTTGACATACTTTTTGGTGAAATAAAAAAATTTGTAATAACGGTTCAAAAACAGGCTCAAAAATGCAAAAAAAATAAAAAATCACTTGCAACAAAATTTCAGTTATTCTTGATAATTTGTTTAAATAAAAAAAAAAAAACAAAAACTGATTACACCATTCAATTCTACGGAAAAAATACAAAAAAAAATTTTTATTGTTTGACCCAAAATTTTATTTTTGTTATATTGATTTCCAACGTCTGCGTGAATAGAGAAATTGTGGAACCGTTGAATAGAAAATGTTCAATATAAAGACACAATGTTAAAAGAAAGCTCAGATGTCCCTTCAGAAAAAAAAATTCTCTAATATTTGTGCTTTTATTTTACTAAACTAAACAAAGCAAGATAGGAAAAAAAGTAAATAACAAAAAAGTTGTATTTTTGATAACTAAATCTGAGAAAAATTTCAAACTTACCAAAAAGCAGTGGCGTACCATATTTTTTTCTATTTTTATCAAGCTGGTATCTTGTGACGCCACTGGAGAAAATAGGACAAATTAAATTATGTGAGAAAATGAGTATTATTATTACAAACAAAGTTGCCAAGTTTCAACAAAGTCTAAAAAGGGGTTTTCGTTTTACGAATAAAAAATCAATTCTCGTTTTAAACTTGAACGCTCTGTAAATTGAAAACGACGCATCTATACGTATATGTTTACATGAACTTTTTTTTTAAAGGACAGTACAAGTTGTGATAGTCCTGCTACAAAAAACACGGACACCCTGTATATGGAAAGTTTAGGAATACGAACCGCAGATTAATATATCATATACAGAATAGCTCTGTTCCGAGTGCATTAGAAACCGTCAGACACACTCGCATTTGATTCCAAACAATGAATGTTGAACATTATGTAAACATTATATCAGAATGTGCATGCGTCTGACTGTTGATAACGGTTTCCAATTGCTCTAGGAACGAAGCCAGTACAATGACAAGAACAAATCTAAAATTTAAAAGTTTACAGTAAATCGCAGCATTCTAATGTTACAAAGCCGATTTGATCTAGCTGTTTATGGTTCTACACTTGTGAGTTATGCTCTTTTCGCAGGTAAGTATTCCATAATTTATTTCCTTTTCTCAGTAAATCCTATTATAATTTCTATAATAGCTTCCACAAAACTTTTTCACCGGTATATAATACTATCGCCAATTGTTTTTAGCCTACGAGTGAAAGAAAGTACAACTTTTGCTTGGGGTGGGCCCAAGGAGCAAGCTCTATGGAGGCCTCTAAAACAAACAAACAAAAAAACAAAATCAGCGCGACTTCCCCATATTTGAACATCATATTTTTATTTGACTCTAAAAAAAAGCACACAGTCACCGATATGATAAAAGATGATATTGAATCTTTTTCTGGGGTGGGCTTTGCACACCCCTGTCCCCTCCCCCTAGCTACGCCCATGGTAAGTAACTAACTAATATGTATCAAATGAAGAAATTTACTTCGGAAGGTAAAATGAAATATGGGTGGGCACTGACAACAATAATAATAATAATCGAAAACTGAAATTTTTGTTCCTTTTAGCCGAATCCTCGTTCTTTTCCCCGTCTCAACTTCCTTAAATTAACATTTCTGTCAACCTCGTTTCTAACGTAACAACGGGCGGCAAATTCGAATATGGTACAATAAAATGCCTACATTCTAATACATTTTATCATCCTTTAAATTTATATGATACAAACGGATCCGTTTGAAAATATAAATCCATTTTAATCAGTTGTAGACAGGAAAATTATTTCATTGAGTTAATTTCATTAAAAGTATTAGCTTATTTGTCAACTAGCTCGATCTATATTTTGCGTTTGTTTTAATATAAAATTCTTTCAAAAAGTGTATCCAGATTTTCTCAACAAAGACTAAAACCACCTACCTACCATATCTAAACTCCAGTCGCATCTGTTCCTAGTAGTAAAGTATTCCTACTTTTTTTTCAGTATTCAAAATTCATATATTCAACTCATTTATCCCTACTAATTGTAAATATACTATTAAACTTATCAAACGCGTTCATATTTTTAACATAGACTCCTATCTACCGATACTACATTATCTCTTGTCCATCTGTATTTAACGTAAAACATTCGTAGAATTTCCCAACATTTCAATGGAAGCCGAAAATGAAATGCGCAATCAAGACAATTTTAATTTTACTCCGCCGCCACTCACTACAGTCATCTGACGTCATTCATAAATACTTGTTGCCGCGAATGAGAGAGAACATCCGCAAGAAGTAGAAAGAGCACAGGCTAGTAGAGTAAGTAGTTTTCAAAACAACTGTGAACGGTGTTGCTCGCATATTTCAGCGTTTTAAAATCGTTTCGCAATGGATGCACCCTTACGGGAACAAGTTATGATAAATCAATTCGTGCTAGCAGCCGGATGTGCCCGTGAACAAGCTAAACAGATACTTCAATCCGCACACTGGCAATTCGAGGTAAATATTTCAATTTGTAAACAAACACCTCAGCATGAGAAAGAAGATGGCGGATGTATATCCCCCCACCCCTTGTAACCTGTCCCTGGGTTGAACGTTTTATCGACTAGCCGTAGCCGATTTGATCAAGGGTTTCAAGGTCGTGTTGTCGTTTACAAACTTCCTTTCTTGGCCTTTGCTGTTTGTCTTGGAATAATCTGTGTGTATTGGTCAAAACGAAAAATACGGTCTTTAGAATTGGTATCTTTTATTTTGATCAGGATCCGCTACATCTTTTCATCAGTTCTCTATTACGTAATCTCTTTGATAAGAATGTTTGTATAATTTATTCAATAGTTAGTGACGAACTGATTTTGGTTTGTAAAAATGGAGCAATTCGTATCTTTGACCCAGAATAAACAATTCTATGAATTATCGTGATTACATAACGTAGTACAAAATGAAGCATCTCTGTATTTCCTTACTTTTAAATTTCTATACTGCGTCAACGTATATTTAATAAGAAAAAAAAGCCCTTAAGATTTAAATTAGAAAAACGTAGGTACCTATGATGCAGAGATGGGATATTTTTATAAATATTTATACCTAATATAACTTAGAATCAATTTACATTTGCGATAATTAAATGTAAAATTATGATTTTCTTATTTGAACCACTAAACTAAATTTTACATGAATCTCCTTATCAAATAATTTAATTTTATATTTACTACTTACTAGTTAGCTAAAATATTTAAAATGACAAATATAAAAAATAAACACCATAGGTAGGTACCTATATGGGTATATAATATTTGCTATTGGATTTAATTAAAATAGGATTAAAATCGAAATTACTGAAATTGAAGTAAAGAGTAAAGTTAAATTGATTGTAAATTCCTGTTTGCGAATTTGACAGGGTCCAGAGTCTATTGACCGATTTAGCTAATTATCTGTTGGCTTGACGCCTATGGTCCTATGACGTCAAACTGATGTAAATTTACAAATTTCATAATTTTGTTGCAGTAACGCCAAAAATTAAAGTATATAGATCAGGATTTTCCTAATTTCTCTTTACGTACTTATTTATTTTAAGTATTCCTAAGTTTTTTTTTAGCAATAAATTTCTGTTTCAGACTGCTCTGAGCATGTTTTTTCAAGATGCAGCCCTCCCGACCTGTCCACCAGGTGCACAAGCTCACTTTGGACAGGTTTGTTTGTGAACGTTAAAATTCACTAATTTTTTAACTCCAATATAAGTACACCACCTGACTTCTTGTTAACTCGCTTGTTTGCAACAAGTAATTTATTTTAATTTTCGAGAAAATGTGCAGCGATTAAATCCAAATATACACATTGTTTCAAAATTAATTGGTCAAACTTAAAATTTGATTTTTAATGGTTGGAGTTAAAAAAAAAAAAATTCAGTTGAGATACAACAGTGTTGAAATTGAAAAAATTTTCGAAGTTTTATTAACGATTATACGTTTCTATTACCAATTTTTTTTTCTTAGGTCATGACTCCGTGCAACACACCGGCCACACCGCCCAACTTTCCCGACACGCTGCTCGCTTTCTCTAAACTGTCCGCCGGGAACGGGAACACCCCGACCCCGAACAACGGCGGCACCGCCCAGATCCACCATTCACCGCAACCAACCCAACAACGATAAACGTTAGTGCACCCTATCCTAAAGAACGCTCAGTGTTAAAGAGAACTATATGTAATAATTATGAGACTAAACTATCGCTAGTGAAATTTGTTAAACAAATTTGTTGTTTTTTTTTTACAGTGACAAACTATTTAGTCAAATGCATTGTCTCATTGCAATATTAGTGTTTGGATAGATTATTTGTTATTTATAAAAGACTATATTAATTTTTTTTGTACCTATAGTACCTTTGTTATGGATGATTTCGGAAAACTAAATATTTTCAGTCACGTAACGATATTCGAGGTAGACGGGGAAGTGGTACAGCAAACACCTTTACGTAAGCGTAATGTAACGAAGTTATATTAAAATTGTAGGGGTTCGTCGTGATTTCTGGGTAATTTTGTATAAGTATCGCGATGAGGCGGGGAGAAATTCCTCGGAGAATGCCGAGAAACTACATATTCTGCTGAAAGTACTTATAATTACGTTTCGGTGACGGCTCGGGAAAATGGAAGATGTCGTATCTCGATAATGATGCTTGTGACCCGTACCATTTTTTAGCTACGAGTCCCCATTCATTATCAAAATAATGACCGCTATATTTTCCAAAAGCCGTCGCCAAAGAATATTGAACAGTGTAAAATTGGAAAGAGTCGAACTAAAACTGAATTTTTTTGTTAAAAAGTGTAACTTTTGTTAATTGTGATTCTGTGTAAACCAATAAGAGAATCCAAATTATTTCAGTTCTATTTTTTCAATAAACCATGTGTCGACTTCATATTCCGAGATAAAAATGTCACGATTTGTCATAAGTAAACCTCGTCGATACATTAGAGGAACACTCTTTAAAATAGTTGTAATTTTTTTTGTAGTTTTGTAAAAATACAAAATCTGCGAAGCTGCTGGAAAAACGATCAAAACTTGGCAAAGGGACACTAAACTAAAAAAACTAACAATTGTGACACCCCCCCGTGTTATTTCAGTGAACCTCTGAATACAGAATACGTTGACCCGTTCATTCTGAAGAGTTCGTCTCGAATGCTCTATGGGATTGAGACCTGGGCTTAGAACCGGCCAGTTCTTAATGCCAGATCACACTCGATTTCTTTTTTGTTAATTACAGACATTGAATTTAAAAGGTCTTAACTGGGTTGAAACGTTCAAATTTACTTCACCTTACGATAAATAAATTATAAAATGACCAAAACTAGAGAAAATTACGACTATTTTGCTCAGTCTTCCGCTAATTTATCGAATTTATAAAATAACGTGTTTTATAGTTACAATATTATTACATACAAAATTATTCACAAACCAAAGAAACCACTTTTTTTTGTTATTTGTATTGAATACGAAATGTTGAATTTGTTTTTCAAAATATCTCGCTAAAACTATTATACTATAAATGTATATTACAAAAATTATGTAATTTTTATAATAAAACTATAAATGACACAAATTTTTGCAATATTTTTATTATAGCGCATATATCTAAAAAATTTAAAAATGTTTTTCCGATTTATATTATAACCAAAACGATAGTGGCATGTGAAAAAGTTCTGTTAGGCTGGTTTTCTTATCAGTGTAAAAGGCATATTGAAAGTCAAATACATGAAAAAAGATCAACTTACAGCTGCCATACTGGGTAATTTTATTATATGACCTAATTTTTACGTTAATTTTGTTAATAATTCAAAATGTTTGACTGATTTGTCCCCGCAAAATATTATGGAAGCTATTTTACACGGTTCGTAAAACACTCGAGAATTTATTTTTGAAGAATTTTAAGACCGGTTTGAAATTTTATTAAAAATAAATTTTATACATTCACTTATAATCATTAATCCTGCATGTCCTGCGCATTATTACTAGCTTTGGATTGAGATAAGAAAGCCAAATGGCCCTTCGGACATCTGTTTGCGTAATGGCCTTTCGTACCACATTTGTAACACGTTACGTCTTCGAGTTTCTTGGGTAGCATTTTCTGCAAATAGGTGTTCTGGGCCTCGGCGTTTTCGTTACCCTGTTGCTTCCTGTTCTCATCGTTTTGGATTATGTCTTTATTTGGATCGACCATCTTATTACAGTGTATAGCTTTGTGTCCGTGCTCGCCACAGAAATGACAAATAATAACGGGCGTTTTCTTCTGGTCCTTAAGATTCTGGTCGGGAGGTGCAGGTAATTCAAATCTGGGGTGCATGTATTTACACTTGGAGCCGTCCGGACACAATCCAGCTAAATAGTTTGTGCACAGTACTCTCCTTACGTGTCGATGCCTACAATGGGGTCCGTGTCTACAGAACCCTCGATCGTACCACGGGCAGTCTTTAATTTTACTTTCCGGGTCAATATGGAGAAAGGGACATTCTTTATTGTGACAGGCGTTAAATCGAGAATAGAAGTAACACTCGGGCATTTTCGTCATATCGTATTCGTGTAAGAACTCGCACTGGTCACCTTTTTTGCACAAGCCACGAAGCCAGTGCTTACATACGATCGTTCTGTCACCCCGGACGTGTCGGAAAGGGCATTGCGGTCCTTTCTGGCAACCCGTTACGGAAGCGTAGAATTGGCATACGGCTGCAGTCGATTCTGAAACAAAAATTAAAATTGAGGCACTATTTAATTCATATAATCCAAACTTACTGTCCATTCCTGGAAATGGTAGAGGTAAAGCTCCAAACTGTTCATCTAGAGCTACCTCAATATCAAACTTCATATGTTCAACGTTAGCTACTAAACACTCCATTTTTGGATATTTTAGAGGCGTGTAAAATTAATATCCAATTTAAAATTTGCGTTACATAACAAATTATAAAAAGCCTGCAATTAAATCTCAAAAATTATGAAAATATCTGTACACAACAGCAATGTCAATTATTTAACCTTATTTTTATTTTTTACCGCATAGCAGGATGGCCAACTGGCCAGATTTTCCTTTAAGCTAGTAGCCAAACCAAAATTGAAAATAGCCCAAAATAGCCTGACATCTAGTAACAAAAACCGTTATTTATAATTTTTATACATTTGAAGTTTAAAACCATTCAAGGTTTTAGTTTGTACTGAGTCTGGGGACAATCCTTTTCTAGTCGTATGTGGACAACCCTGAGAAATAGAGTAACTGCTTGTTGTTCTCAAGTAAGGGCATATGACTAAATATATAAGTAACATACATACATAACATAATATATAATATATATGACTAAATAAATAAGACTCGTGAAAAGGATAGAAAAAGAAGAATCATGAAAGTACGAGCGCCACCTCACAATCGGTCTGGAAAACACTGCCATCTATAGCACTATTTATGTATCGAAAACTGTAATACTAACTTGAACAGAAAAGTGATATTGGTATTAGAACCTATAGAGTTCGCTGGCAAAATTAAAAATTTGATGATATTACATGTATTCTTTCGTGCGGAAGCTGAACAAACTGATTGCAATCGGTAGCTAGCCAATCATAATACAGCATTTTTAAAATTCTTAATTATGATTGGTTCTTTACTGATTTGAATCACTTTGTTCAATACGAAAGAATACACGAATTGAAAATTAGGTCACAAAGGGGATGTGTTCTGTGGATTAGGTTTGAAGTTATTTCTTCTCTATGTTGTATTATGACTAATTAACTCGTAAGTAACCGCGCTAGTGCTTTTCATAATAATTGTTTTCTATTTTAGACTAAAATTTAATGTAACGCAAGAAGCAAGAAGATAATTATAATTGTTGAATCGTTCATCTGAATTGTCTTATTGTTTTTGCTTGTTTTAATTTTGAATAGAAAATATCTGGAATGATCTCACATCACTGTTGTGCACCAAACTGCAAGAATACATATTATTTATATACCACAGATACTTCTTACAGAAATAAAAGCTTTTTCAAAGTTACTGCAGGCAGGGAAAAGATTTGGATAGAATCAGTTCGCAAATTATGTAAACCAGATTTTAACTTCATCAACGAAAATTGTTATTTTTG